GTATGTCTTCTCTTCTTGTTTAACCAAGCTATTGAAACGTTACGCATGAGAGGATTTGGAACACAGTTAGCCATGCTATCTGAGTTGATTGAATTGGGACGGTAGATCTAGCAATATTAATGAAAACTCCTCCCAAAGCAATCACCCAATGTCGAGTGTTCCTAGAGCAGCCCCCGTCCTCCCCCGAATAACGCCACCAAATAGACAGCAGGTTTTCAATGGCCGGGAAGGGATAACAGTTATACTTTGAAATGACAGTCAGCTAGGCATGTTCCTATTAAAGATCATCCAAACCTAACATTTCCGTTTGTTGTTTCAAAGGCCTTTTCTTACTGGCATAATTATTGTGTATTGCGCTGGGATGCCCTTTACCAGAGCTCTCACTGTTTTATAAGAATGTTTTGTCATTCAAAAATACCACGATCCCAGGTGTTCTCATACCTGCGAAGACGCCCACATCTTTCATGCGGTTCTTGTTACCTTGACTCTTTGCCGAGTGAATACGAACTAAGGACACTGGTTGGAAATCACCAAGATACAAAATCAGCCAAGGTTTTTTTCCCGTGTGGGACATGAAACAAGTTCCAGGATCGCCATCCACCACAAACTTAGCCAAACCCTTGTCAGTTGAGGACGCAATCGCTTTTTTCAGTAAGGCAAGATTTTGTTTGCTATGCCATATCTCTGGTCGTCCTGATGAGAGGGAAAGCAGAGTTAATTACATGTACTTGGTAATGAAATAAGCACATTTTTTCAATTAGATGTCGAAAGTTATCCATGATTTCTTTTGTTTTGCTCGATTTCGCTCTGTGATTGGTGCAGAAAACTCGTGCCATCGTCACAACCAATCAGACTTATTAAAAAACAATCCAATCTGTACACTCGCGTTTACCCGCGTTTCAAGCAGTTTGCCGGTTTTAACTCTGAGTTCTCATTGGCTAATGTCGCTCTTCGTTCTGATTGACCTTTGAGATTACTTTAATTCAGGTTTTGGTGCGAAACTCAATTGAAAACTGTTCTATTATTATCGCAGAGAAATCAACTGAATGCTACATTCTAATCAGGCAGCACAGGGCGAAAACCGTAACCTGTGAGCCATGGAGTAAAAAATAAATGTACATTAACTAATCCTTAAAAGCTTTTCCGTTGTGTCTACGGTCCTCCTTCTAACAGGAACTCAAACTGCCACCTTGAAAGTCCGGGCAATATTCAGCGTGCCCGAGAGCACTGCCCTCTGCATCTTTCGCAGTACGTCTGTGCTTCTGCCTCCCACCAGCTCGCGCATCATGACATCCAGCTCCCGTGACCACCCCCCGAGGGCATCCATAATGATGTTATATTGCTTCACCTCGTAGCCTGGGAACTGCTGCCTTAGTTCCCAGCGAAGGGGTCCGTACTTCAGTGTCTTCTCTTCATCCTTTCTTGTCCGATTGTTAACCCACGGGCAGCTCATTTCCAGCGTCACAACTCTCTTGCACATATGATTTACAATGCGTGCATCCACCCTATTGCATCTGACCTCTTGTTGATCAGCATATATAGGGACATCCCAATAAGCTTTAACATTCTCTGACTCATACACGGGCTTCGGCTTGTCGGGTGAGTACCAGGGTGGTATCTCGTCTATAAATCCCTCATCATACAACAGTT